ATTTGCATGGGCCGGGGTGCGGGGCGCGGAGCCGGACGCGGCCTAGGGGTCACCTTTCTGGCCGTCGGCTGCCGCGGGCGTTACTAGGGGCGGCACGGGGACGGTCGGAAATGCCGAGAAGCATCTTCCCACGAGGAGCCGAGACCACAGCCGCGCGGCTCTCGCGCCTCTCCGGGAACCCGAGCCTCCGGCGGGGGGGCGCACTAGCCCAAGGCGGGGATCGCGGGGCTCCCGGCAACCGGAGTCCTTGAAGCTGCGGCAGACGACCGGTCCGAGCGAGCCAAGCTCCTAAGAAACGGATGCCCAAGCCTGCTGGTTTGAGACATGGGAGCCTTTACTTAACACGCCAGATCCCGCCGGGACCAGGATTTCCATCAAGCTCAGGTAACGGGGCAGCCCCTTCGGTGGGACCGACACCTCGCCTCTAGAACCGACAGTTACACCCCGCTCTAGACAGTGCTGAAAGTTGCTAAATTTTGTTAACGGCCCCTTTTGTAGATTTCACTCCATTTCCTGCCCACGCCCAAGTATAGTTTCCCATCTGCGCGCCTCAGTACTTCTAGACCAAAGCCCCAGAAGCATCACAAAGGGGAGCCGGCGTTTCCTTCTAAGGCGACCTACAAAAACGCTCAAGAGGTAGAATGTATTGCAGACGCTGTCAATTCTAGTCATCATTTTAAGATCATTCAGGTTCACTGTCTAGACCCTAAGCTTTCTAACTGGAAAATTAAAGCAAACATGTTTACATAGAATTTGTAATTTTTTAAAAATATTTTTTTATTGACTTCAGAGAGAGGAATGGACAGAAAGAGACAGAAACATCAGTGCCTCTCGCACGCCCCCTGCTAGGGGTGGAGCCTGCAACCAAAGCATGTGCCCAAACCCGGAATCAAACTGCCATCTTCTGGATCATAGGTTGATGCTCAACCACTGAGCCACACCGGCGGGGCTCTATGTAATTTTGATAGAGCATAATTGCCTGCCGTTTTGCTAGTCTTTCCCTCAGAACACCTTGTTTTTTTACCAGTTGTTTTATTTTCTGCTGTAACCACCCCCTCCAGAACACCTTAATTTTGATTAGGCATTTTTCTCTATATAGAATTAAAAAATCCCAAGTCACAAGTTGTGATACAAATCAGGAACATCTCTTTTCCAGGAGCCCCACCATTACTGAGAAGGGTGCTGGTTCCCTACCTCCAAAGTCATAAGTGAAACTCTACCTCGGGCTCGTGTGCTTTCCACTGTGAGAGAAATGTAACACCCCAACAACCTGTAAACACCCACATCCTTCCTGAAGAGATGCCCAATAGTTCAGACGAGCCTGTGGTTACACACTGTCCTGGTCATCTCCATCATGGGAGGGGTTCAGAGATGACCTAGTTCAAAAGGGACACTTTAAAAAAAAAAATCTTGATTTCAGAGAGGAAGGGAGAGGGAGAGAAACATCGATGATGAGAGTCATTGATTGGCTGCCTCCTGCATGCCCCCCCACTGAGGATGGAGCCCACAACCCGGGCATGTGCCCTGACCAGGAATCGGACCTCGATCTCCTGGGTCCTAGGTCAATGCTCAGTGGCTGAGCCATGCCCGGCTGGGCCAAAAGGTGTCACTTTTTAAGTTAGGAAATTGAGCCCCAAATGACAAGCCAATAGAATACAGCTGGGTCAGTAGCACAGCTGGACTTAATAATGCCCAATTGAGACACAATACAGCACATTAACCTGGAACTTTCTCCCTAAACCCAGCTGTCTCCGTATCACTCAAGGGGACTCATTCCCCCCATCCTCCCACC